TCACATTAAGTATTAAAAATATAAATTTTGATCTCTATACTTTTCTTGCTAACTTCTCTGTAATGGGCATTACTAATTTTTTTTTTTTTGGTATCAACGTGGGTGAGACTGGAGGAGATTATGCTGAGTGAAATAAGTCAAGTAGAGAGAGTCAATTATCATATGGTTTCACTTACTTGTGGAGCATAAGGAAGAACATGGAGGACATTGGGAGAAGCAATTGACTTTTGTATATTGACTTTGTATACTGTGAGCTTGCTACACTTGCTCATTAGTTTTAGGAGTTTTTTGGATTTTCTACATAGACAGTCATGTCATTTGAAGATACACCTAGTTTTATTTCTTCCTTTCCCATATGTATACTTTTTTTCCCCCCTTTTTGGTGTCTTATTTTACTAGCAAGGATGTTCAGTAATTGTAGTGAGATAATACATTCTTGTCTTGTTTCTGATATTCAGGGGAAATGTTCTTGTCTATCCACCACTAAGGATGATGCTAGCAATGGGTTCTTTGTAGATTGTGTTTATCAAGTTAAGGAAATTCCCTTCCATTCCTGGTTTTCTGAGAGTTTATACTTTAAATGGGCATTGGATTTTGTCAAATACTTTTTCTGTGTCAATTGATGTGATTATATGGTTTTTCTTCTTTAACTTGTTGATGCAGGGGATTACCCTGTTTGATTTTCAATTGTTGAATAAGTCTTAGCTATCTGGAATATATTCTGTTTGGTCATGGTGTGTAATTATTTTCATACATTATTGGATTTGATTTGCTAATATTTTGTTGAGATTTTTTGTGTCTCTGTTTATGAAAGCTATTGGTCTGTAGTTGTCCTTTAAGTAGTTTTTTCTTTAAGTAGTAGTTTTCTTTTCCTTAAAGATTGACTTTATTCAGTCTTTACTGAATTTTGGTATTAGGGTAATTCTGTCCTCATTAAAATGAGTTAGGAACCGTTCATTCCACTTCTAATTTCTGGAAGAGGTTGTGTAGAATTGGTATTAATTTTTTCTCTAAATCTTTGGTAGAATTCACCAGTGAAACCATATAGATCTAGTGTTTTATTTTTTAGTCAGTTTTTAAATCACTGACACCATTTCTTAATCGATACAGGGCTCTTCATGTTAACCTTTTCTTCCTGTGTAGATCTGGGTAGTTTGTGTCTCGTTCAACAACTTGGTCCATTTCATCTCATTCGTTAAATTTATGGGCACTTATTCTTTTTTTATCATTTTAATGTCTGTGAGATCAGTAGTTCTTTCACTAGTGATATTGGTAATTTGTGTATGTGTCACTTTCTCTGCTTCTCTCTTCTGTTTACTTGGCCAGAGATTACTGATTTTATTAATCTTTTCAAAGAACCCGATTTCAGTTTTATTGATTTTTCTATTATTTTCCTGTTTCCAAATTCATTGATTTCTGCCCTAATTTATATGATTTCTTATCTTCTACTTGTTTTGGGTTTAGATTCCTTTTCTTTCTCTGGTTTCCAAAGGTAGAACTTAGATTATTGATTTTAGATTTTTCTCTTGTAATATATACATTGATTACTGTAAATTTCCCTCTAAACACTGCTTTTATTGTATCTTACACATTTTGATACATTGTATTTTTATTTCCACTTAAGTGAAAATATTTTGAAATTTCTCTTGAGATTTCTGTGTTGTCCCATGTGTTATTTAATCTTCATGTATTTTGACACTTTCTTCATAGGTAGATACAAGAAATAACATACATATTGTTATGTCTTCCTTGAGAATTGAGTTTTTTTTGGTCATGATGTAATGTCCTCTTCACCGCTGATAATTTTCCTTGTTCTGAGTCTACTATGATGGAAATTAATATGATTACTACAGTTTTTTTTTGATTAGTGTTAGCAGAGCATATCTTCTCCATCCTTTTACTTTAAACACATTTGAGTTTTTATGTTTAAAGTAGATTTGTAAATGCTTTGACCTGTTTTTTCCCCACTTATTTTTTTTTCTTTGTATTTAGTTTGAGAATTTCTTGACCTATATTCAAGCTCCCTGATTCTTTCTTTGGCCTTGTTGAGTCTACTAATGAGCTCCTTCATTATTTCCGTTGCAGTGTTTTTATTTCTAGCATTTACTTTTGATTCTTTCTTAGAGTTCCTCTCTACTTCTATTTCCCATCTGTTCTTGCATAGTGTCTAATTTTTCCATTAGAACACTTAATATATTGTGCTTGCTTCAGCAGCACATATACTAAAATTGGAACGATACAGAGAAGGTTAGTATGGCCTCTGTGCAAGGATGATGGGCAAATTTGTGAAGAACACTTAATACACTAAAAATAGTCATTTTAAACTCTGTTTCTGATAATTTCAGCATCTTTGTTATCCCTGAGTCTGATTCTAATGATTATTTAGTCTTATTTCCTTTAGGCATACTTTGTAATTTTTTGTTGAAAACCAGTCACATTATATCAGGTTCAAGAAACTGAGGCAAATTAATCTTTACTATAAGGATTAAGTAAATCTACCTTGGAGTTGGGCTACATTTAGTGTTTTCAGTAGCTATATAAGTACAAGTGGTTACAAATTCCTTATGTCCTGGTTTTTGTCTCCCCTCTTGAATTGGGCTCCCCTGAGAACTCCTCCTCAGAAAGAGTCTGTGTCTCGTAGTTCTTTCAGCTATAGTCCACCATTAATTTTCTGGATTCTTGTCAGTGTTGTGGGAAGGTGTGGGGAAGGGAGCTCTGACTATTACTCTTCTTTTTGATTAAAAAAAATTCTTTTTACCTTCTATTCCTCGTAAGGCATTATTTGCTGTGTTTATGCTCTATATTCCCTCTTCTTAGGTCTTCGTTTCTGAAATGTATCTTTATTCTCATTTTTATTTCCTTCCTGAACTCTCTTGTTGAATTTCTGTTTTTCTACTTCTGGTTTAGGTTGTTAGTTCATGTCTTGAACCACATGAAGTGCTTCAATTCTTTTGAGGTAGTGGGTTATAGATTTGATACACGTTATAGGCCTGTCTTTTGGAATGTTTTCATCTACTGTAAGGAAATCGACCTACCTTTTCCCTCCATTTATCTAATAATAACTTGGTATCGAATTGCCACCAATATGATTTGTTGCTCATTTTTGTGTCAGATTAACTTTACTGAACTTCTAGAAATGGGCGTGGCTTAAGAGAGTTTATTTTTCACCTCTGTGGCGCTCTCTCTTTAGTTGCTTTCATGTGGTGTTCAAAAGCGTGATGGCTACATTCTCTTTCCACTTTTACAATGACCCTGGTATTTCTTCTTCACATAGTCTTTACTGTGAGTCCTCTTGATTTCCCTCACACAGATCTTTTCAAGGTGCTATCCTAGGAGGGAGATGGGGTGGTTGGTCTGGTGGATTCCCAGCATGTGACAGTTCCAGCCTTTCAGGACTTCCTGTGGGTCCTTACACTCACTGGATGCTGGATTAGGCAAGCCCCTCCCCTTTCTAGCTGCTTCCTCAATTTGCCCTGTGGTACTTCCCAGTGAATATCTATTGGCTATACTGGGGCTTTTTTGCTCACAGACATGACAGATACCTACTTGTTTGTTTCTGTTTCCACCCACATGGATGCTGATGTCACACAATCCTGGGGCTATTGGGAGACTGTCACTACCCACTTCCATTTGGGAACTTATGGGGCTATCATCTCATCTGTTTTTGTTGTAAATACAGTCCATGAAGTGTTTGGTTTTGCTATCTAGCTGTTTAGATATGTGGGAGTTTTGAGAGGTTCTGAAATGCACCACCTTAGGCCACCATCTCCATGGAGTCCCTTTCTCTTTCCTAGTATCCTTGCTAATCAAGAGAATGTCAAGCATGGTCATTCTCAGAGTGTTACTTAGCTTGAACACCTTTCATCATCGCAGACACTGAGCCTGTACTACCTCACTCCTTCTTCATCTGTGGTGTCCACCATATCACATCCTCACACAAACACTTTACTCTAGACTCTCCCAAGTGCCCACTACTCTACAAACACAACATTTCACACACCCTTGTGCCTTTGCCAGTGCTGTTTTATAAACTGGGAATGCTCTTCCACTTACTCTTCCTGTCTCATCCTGCTCAGCTCCAAATATTACCTTTTCTACAAACTCTTCTTTAATCCATCTGGTCAAAATGAATTACTGATTTTGGTACAGAGTTGGTAGGTAGTTAAAAGCACAGACTCTGTCTTGGGGTTCAATTTCCAGCTCAGCCATTATAGAGATATGTGACCTTGGATAAATCCTCATCGACAAAATGGGAATCAGAGTGTTCTCTCACAGGAAGAGCATAAAGCTTGGCCCATGGACAACCCAGAACTAAGTTCAAATGCTGGCTCTGGGCACTGACGGCCCATACAATATAAGTCTGTGTCTGATAGAATGTCAAGAGCCCAGACTCTGGAGGGAGACTTCCTGGGTTTGAATGCAGGTTGTAACTTTTCAATGGTAAGACCTGGTACAAATTATTTCATGACTCTAGGTCTCAATGCTCTTCTCTTTAAATGAGGACATTAGTCGTACCTACCTCATAGGGTTGCCATGAGGATTTCATGAGTTACTGCATGGAAAGTATTTGGAACAGTTTCTGGCCACATATAGGTTTTTGTGCTATTATTAAAGGGCCAATTTTGCTGGCCCAGGAAGCTTTGGTGCTGTATCTATGAACAACAAAGTGGTGATTAATGGAGACACAAGACTGTGGTGGCAGAGGCTCTAATACTTACTTGCTACATTCAAAGGTGCAGTGTCAAATAAGAGTGGGGCCTATTTTGATTTTGGTGGTTGTTTTTATTAAGATCATGAGAAAGACTCATTGCAGAGCAATGAGAAGATGCAGAGTAAGACAACCAGGATAGACACTGATATTATCAAACGATTTGGTGTGGATTCTGGGTCCCATCGTTTTAAATTCTGGTCCCTTGGGAAAGTCAGCTGACTGGCTCCAAGTGAGGGACCATCAACTCACAAAAACATTTCACCTGAAAAGTTAGTCCTTTCATATTTACCTTGAAGAAGGAAGCAAACTTTGTATCGCCGTGATAAATAGAAGAACGATAAATGCACAGACCAAGTTTGACTTGAATACTTCATCCCTCATTTGAGAATACTGTAATTAAAAAAAGAAGAAGAAGAAGAAGAAAGAGAACAAATTACTTCACAGCAAAGCTGCATTTCTGGAAGAGTTAAGTTTTCCCAGTGTTTGGAGTTGAGGAAAAACAACAAGAAGAAACAAAGCATTAAAACATTTTTTTTTTTTAAAGGAGGAATCCATATTTTAATTAACCCTTCGCAGAGCATTATCTCCATCCCTCCCTCCAACCTTCCAGTGAGAGCCCAGGACTGAATCTTATTGTCTTCCAGGCAAAAAGGAAAGGGAAGGGACTCTGTGCAAGCTTATCCAGCTCTCCTCCCTCTGAACTAGCATCACTTAAACAAAACAGAAGAGCACACAGCCATATAGGTCACAAATCAAATTCACATGGACTCTCTTCATGATTAAACTTAAGTCATTGAAGGGTCTTGCTCTATTTCTTGTTAGGCGGGGGATACAGGGAAAGGTTTCCCCCCGAGTCTTCCTGCCTCCTTTTTAATGAAAACTATTAAAAAATAAGATCACAGAATCTTAGAAGAGAGAGCAGACTAAGAGAACTCCAGTGAATGCAAAGCCCTTTCATTTCACACACAGAAACCCAACTGATCATCCAATGTGTTCCATGCCCTTTTCTTGTCTGCTCCAGGCAACCCTGGGTAGTGGTACTAACTTTATTTTGATTATCCAGCGAGCTCAGTGATTTCACTGTCTAGCCTTAAAAACTTCTGGAAGGTCAACACTGAATAGGCACTTGCCTTAGTCCCGTCTAATTTCCTGAAACCATGTTGGAGTCACTAAATGAAGAAGAGTCCAATTCCTTCAGAAGGAAGAAAGGATTTTTAAAACTGAGGAAGACCTTAATATCAGCCTTCCTCAAGCCCCTCATTTTCTTTCAATGCCAGAGAGGTCAAACAACTTGCCATAGATCATTCAGCATGCAGATCATTTTTAGGGCAGGGGAGCAGAAAGCTAAGCCTGGCTTTGGAACTTTTTTGTATTCCCTGACTTGAAATTCACAGTTACTTTATAAAGGAAACAAGTAAATGGAACTCTGGCAACACTGCAGGCTTGTCCCCAGTACGGAGAGAAGGTTTGGGTCACTTCAAAGAAATACTAAAATCAGTCCAATTTGTTGTTGGTGTGGTAGTCACGATCAATAGTTACATGATTTTTATTCTCTTGCCTACTTCTTGGTGTGGTCTGGGTTTTAGACTGAATGGACTGTTCAGTGTCCTGGCTGAGATGTGGGGGAATGGCAATGTCCTGCGGCCAGCGAGCTCCACAGCAGGGGCCATAACGTTGTTCAGAGAGTGCACTCTCATTCCTGCTTCAGGGCAATGCTTTTTCTGTTCCTCAGGACTGAGGGTCTGTCTGCTTGCCGAACACCTGCTCAGTATCTGGAGGGGAAACTGGACTGCTCCCCTGAAACATCACGATAAGCTACCCTCACTCCCGATAAAACTACAGAAAATCCGTATTACCAAGAGCACTACCTAAGGACGGGGCACAATCAGAGAGAGGCATATACATACCAGCTTGGAAATCAGCCACAAAGCAGTTAAGTCAAGGAAAGATACATGTCTGAATTTCGTTTAACAACTAATTGTACAAAATCTAATGATTCTTTGTTAGCTGACTGATGAATGTCAAACGAGCTTGGTTATATAGATTTGGCATGAGATTTTTAAAACAACGATAATTTTTAGTTTGTCGAATCCCTGTCTTCCTCATTTTCTGCATCTTTATCTTCCCCACATTATCACAGCAGCTTGGAGTTATAATGGAAGGTGACCTTCAGGAATCCTTTCCGTGACATTCCTGACGTCTATTCAAACACCTGCTGATTATCATCAGATGCCTTTCTCTGCTTTGTTGAGGCAAGTGGGTTTCTTTCCACTGGGTGGAGGCAGCAATCCTAGGGGGATCTTCTGCCCTTGACTTGGATACTCCTGGTGTCTGAGAACTCACTCCTTTGCAAAGGGTTCCTTTCCATATTGGGTCTATTTTTACTGTGAAGAAGTCTTTCCTGTAGATCAAAAGCCCGAGTCTCTGCCTCCTTTCCTTTCCTGAATGCTTCTTAGTGATGACCTTAAAAACGTCACATAGTCACTACTGGTCCAGCCTAAAGTGGCTTTAGGTTTTTTACTTGCCTCTGCTGGCAGGCTGGAAAGACTTCTTCTGGCTCCAGATTGGCTACTCTGTCAGTGGCTTGCTGTGAGTGAAGCCAGTTTCTTTGAACTTCCCTTTTCTGATCTGTCATATGGGGGCATGAATACAATTCATAGGTTCCCAATGCTATTATCTTATTTGTGCTAGGATTGAATAATAAATTCTATTATTCATGCCTGAACTCCAGTGCCAACACTGTCACAAGGAAGAGCCTTATAATATTGGGAAGCTGATGTCAATCGAATATAAAATACTGGGTTTCAGAACAGAGAGCATTGTTACTTTGGAAGCACAAAGGAGAACAGAACTATGGAAAGAACATTCCTAATTGGCTCAGGATGATAGGGTACTGACATTGGGTGGTGATTCATTTCACTTCCTCTTGACTTGTGAAGGTCTGAACACTCGGGCTCGCAGCTATAATAAGTTACATGTACGTTCTCTCCTGCCATTGTTAGAGCTCTCTCCTGCTCACCTCATGTCTGTTCTGTCCTCACTTGGCCTTACTTATCCTTTTAAGTCTTAGTGGTGAGCAAAATGAACTAACCTAGAGCTAGACTACCTGGATTTGAACCTTAGCTCCAATACCTACTATCTATGGAACGAATCCTGGACAAGATGACTAAGCATTGTATGCCACAGTTTGCTCACAAAGAAAATAAGGATAATAATAGGAACTATCTCATTATGGTTGCTGGGAGAATGAAAGAGTTAATATATGTAAAACGCCCAGAGCAGGTTCTTAGGGCATAGGGCAACCTCATACAGGTGCTTCCTGTAATCAATTAATTATACTTATTGTATTTCTATGCTTGTTACTTTTCCAAAGCCTGCTTTTCAACCTCAATGTTACCTTCTAGAATGCTGTCTTCCATTCCTCTGTGCAAAATGGTACCTTGTACTCAGTAGGGTCCCCTAGAGTATGGCTGACTGTTTGGTCCATCATGTTAGAAAGGATTCTTTAAAAAGGAATTGTAATCTAGTATGTATGTGTGGGTTTTGTTTGTTTGTTTGTTTGTTTTGTCTTAGGAAAAGCCCCTGCCTTTATTCCTTCCCCTGCCTCCTAGAACATCTCCCACCAGCAGGTGGAATTCTCCACTTCTCCAGAGACCTTTAGGAAAGGTGTCATTGGAAATGACTACTGGGTCTTTATAATTCACTGATCCTTGGTCTTCAAGAGAATATATATATATATTCAGATGAAGAACTTGAGAATCAGATATAGAGAAAGAGTTTGCCAAGGTCAATTAGGGGATTGGTGACCAAGTTCAGATAATAAGCCACACCTCTTAGCTCTCAATGGTGTGTTCACTCTGTTGGACCACTGTCTGGGAGCAGAAAAAGCCTGGAGCCAGTACCTATGCCGACTATACTGGGATTAATGCCAATTAAAAGAGTATGCCACTTGGAACAAGTTACAAGTGCTTTCTTTGAGATCTTAGATTAGAATTCGATTACTTTTTTTTTTTTTTAATCCATAGGGCTCTGGTTGACTCAGGAAATGCTCAAAATCTTGTAACATATTTGAATAATAATAACTAATGCCTGGTGCAAGGTAAGCACCATGTCATGTGCTTTACGTGCACAATCTCTTTTAGTTAATACAAAAATGCTTTGAGGAAGATTATGTTTATCACATCCCCATTTTGCAGATAATGAAACCGAGGTTTAGCATAATTGGAGTAACTCAACTAGAACTTCACAGATTATAAGTAGGAAATCCAGAGTTTAGCCCTGGAGTGTCATGTGTCATTGGCTATACTATCTGCTGCTAGGTTGATGTTTTCAAGGCATGGTTATCTTCTTCATAGGGTGCTGTACAACATGTTTTGCTATATTTCAGTGATGTGGTTCATGATACAAAGAAAGGGAATGTGTTAAAAATTTGAGTTTATGTAAATCATGGTTAGAATGAGAGTAAATCATGATCTGGGCCAAGCATGGCCCTTAGAAACACCCTATGAATGAGTTTAACAAACTAGCACTGCTGAATTTTCATGATTAATGGATGGATCACCAGCACAAAGCAATACAAAGGAAAGAGCCCTTTTCTCAAGGCCTGCAGGAGTGAACCACTAGCAGGAAAGAAAGGAAAAGGCACAGTGGGCTTTATGTAAGAGTAACAGAATAAGAAGAACCACAACCTGTGGCTGTTTAATCACCACAAGTGATTAAAATGTTGTTTTAAAAATAAAACTTTCCTACTTGTTTGACCAGGTTGAGACATGGGGTCCCTTCCAAGGAATTAGGGGCAGGAAGAATGTGTGTTTCATTTTGTTCATGTCTGGGGGTGTTGCCCTGCCTTCTTTTGAAAGACATCTTCAGAAAGGACATCAGAGCCACGAGGCTTTGAGGTTCCTAGATCTGTCACAAGGAAGCATGCAACCCAAGTTTGGTCACACAGGACAAGGTTATTCTAGAATCTTCATCCACGAAGTTGTGACCAGGGAAGCTAGCTTTCAGAGGTGATGAACAGAGCTTCCAATATTCTGTTTCTGTGTCTGAGTCAGGCCTGGAAAACCTTCCCATATGTGTGGGAGGAAAATTACCCTTTTCTCCTAGATTGGCCACTTCAACCATGAGCTAAAGAGCACTGATGAAATTCTTGCATCTCTGTAAGATGTAAAGAATAGTTCTAACTTAGGCAGTAACCCAGTTAATTGTCCAAACTACAGCCATACTGTCTTTTCACTCAATTGTGTATGTGAGATCACACAATTTTATAAAAGGGGTGGATTGTATTTGTCACCTTGGGACAATGCTTACTCATGCCAATTTTACTCTGTAAAATCCCTCCAAAATGAACTATTAACTCCTGCCTGAAGATTTCCAATGATGGGGGAAAT